TCTTAGGTTATATTAATTTCAACATTTACTAATGCATTATTAAAATGGTATTAGAGAGAGTTATATATATATATATATATATATATATATATATATATATATATATATATATATTATAGGCATATATATTGGATAATTTACATGTCCCAAGCAAGCCACCTATGCTGACGTGTGGTTTTGTTGTGGAGAGGAGGGCGTGGTCTGACGCGCACGATGAAGGCGTGGCGTGGCGACGTCATCTTCAGGGCACTGAGGGCAGATGATTGTTGCGTGTGAGCGCAGCTAGACATGTAACGCGCGGCGCCGAACACGAGATGTTTTATTTCATATTTGCCTTATTTTCCTGTCAAACGAGCACCCGTTTGGATCATTTGAGCTTTATAATGGCAGAATAGACGCCGGGAGGGACGCTCTATTTGTGTCTGCTTCTTAAGCCGATAAAGAAAAGGAAATTCAGCTATATTTATCTCTTGTGTCCTGACCGGGAACATGTCTTCGGGACAAGATGAGAGCTCAGTGCGCGTGGCTGTCAGGTATAAGAATATACATTTTTATTTTTCATGTAGTATATTGAAGAGCCTATAAAGTCTCACTGATGCTCCGTATGGGCCCGCCTCTTATGTACCTGCTACGATGTCACACCATCATCAGGGCTTTATGTTCCGCACGAGCTCATTGTGTTGATGCAGTGTTTAATAAATATAAGATTAGATGCATGCGTGGCATTATTTTTTTAACCCTATTTACCTTATTTTTAATCCTAAATCAGGCTGTAGGGCCTTATTGTGTTGATAAACATATCTGATGTATAATTAAAGTGTTAGATAATTAGCTACTGTTTTACAGTAACATAAGATTAAATGGGTTATCGATTACATAGATTTTAGATATGGATTTTCTTTTATTTCTCCATCTGTTCATGTCTGACTTCTATTGATTAAGAAGTGGTCAGAACTGTTACTGTACGTGTCATGTTACGGTATGGCTGTAAGGCCTTATTGTGTTTATATTGTACTTGTAATGGTTAATAGATATGCAGATATAAGACTATATAATGTCTTTTTACTTTACTCTTCTGATTATTAAACAGGCCCAGATCATTATATTCATACTTTATTATAGGATTTAGGTTGTCATTTCTCTTTTTTATGTTGTATTTACGCTTTATGACCTTGTTGTGTTTATAAACATGGACTCGATGTTTGATATGAAAATATATAATTATATGCTCACATATAGCTTTTCCTTCATTTTTTATATATTACGTTCTATTGATCAAAGTAACAATAGGTTACTATAACTTAAATTACAGTAAGTTTGTGGGTCCTGTTGTGATTATAATTAATATGCATGTTTTATTGATATGAATACCTGAGATTTTATCTGAATATATTATTCTACTGATGTCTCTTGAGCTGAAGTGGGGCTACATCTCAAAATGTCATACTGTAATCAAGGTTTAGGGCACATTTTCTTTTGTCAGTTGAACTTATTTGCTTGAGCCTTTGATTGTATGTTAAAGGGATAGTTCACTCAAAAATTATGTTGTGTACTCATCCATATGTAATTTCAGAACATTCGTTTCTTCTGTGAAACACAAAAGAAGATATTTTCTGTAATGTTTTTGTATAGTGAAAGTCTAACGTCCTGTAGTTTGGACCCCATTGACTTCCATTGTATGGACAAAAATAGTTGACTCATTAATCAAAATAGATTGTTTGTGTTTCACGAGCAGTGTTATTAGTATCATTCAATTCAATTGAACATTTTTTATTTTTTTTTTAAAGATTTCTTTTTGGCGTTTTATGCCTTTTATTTAGATAGGACAGTAGGTCGACAGGAAGCGAAGTGGGTGAGAGAGAGAGGGGGTGGGATCAGGAAAGGTCCACGAGCCGGGACTCGAACTCGGGACGCCCGAAGCGCAAAGGCGCTACATGTCTGCGCGCTGCCCACGAGGCCATTGGCGCCGACCAATTGAAAAATTTTAATAGTTTTAGTGACCAATAACAACACTGGTTCCACCAAAGAAAGAAAATCATACAGGTGTGGAACAACATGGTGAGCAAATGATGACGGAATGGGCGAACTATCTCTTTAAGTAGTCTGCAGTTAAAGTCTATGTGGGATAATATCTTCTTCATTAAACACATCCTTTTGTGACCAAATTGAAAGGACACACAGAGTGCTTCTTTTTTGTGGTTGTAAAAAGCCTCTGTTGAAAAACAAAGGCCATCTATACGCTCATGTTACGTTGTTCTGATAGGCCTCAGGAGCTCTGGTTACTGGAGCTGACAGACTTTGACCTGCAGCTCAGTTTGCACAACATTTGGACTTAGGCCTAATGTCATTCACTCCACCTCTCTTTATTCTTCTGTCAGATTTCTATGAAGGCATCATGTTTGCGTATGAAAGCCTGTCAGAGAGAGAACTTTAAATGTTCTAAAACAGGTGCAGGAACCATTGTGAACACATGGAAATGGTTTACTTACTACCTGGACAATCTTGAGAATTGATTTTTTGGCTTTTATTGATGACAGAGGAAGGGAGTGTATATATTGTTTACAGAAAATGTGAATGCTTCTGTGTTTTAAAATAGTCACAGGTCTGATCTTGAATGTTTTTGCTATAGGTAGGCATTTGAACAATCCAGTACAGATCACATGAGTGTGTTAATCTGTCAGACTGAGTTTAAATAAGCAGGTCACAATTACAACCATTGACATTTTGGGCATTTACCATGGCCACGTATCTTGGCCGATGAATTGCAAGCATGTAGATCCGTTGTTTGTGGGCCGTAGAGTTTTCTTTAGATGTCTGCAACATTAAACTGAGTTTGTTGTTATTCAAATAGCTACTGTTGATATAAACATGTCAACATTTTTGCTATCTTTAACTAACATTCTCCTATCTTAGGACCAGATTTACTAAACAGGGCAAAGTAGCGTTAGAGCGCAATTCCATAAAAGTGCCGATGGGAGTGGAAAATTCTGCGGGTGATTTACTAACAATGCGCACATTAAAGAACACCGATGCAGCCAGATCATTTCCACAATGACCAGCGCAATTTACCGCCTGCTTTAAGACATGCTTTTTTGGCCGTTAAATAATGGCGCAAATACCAGTAATTTGACGAGCGCAAACGTTAGTGAATCAAGTTGTGTGCTTCATTGCAACTCCTACAAATGCATATTCAATAAGGTCAGGCACAAAAATAACTGTGTCCATGCCTTTTCAGTGCTAATTCCTCACTGTGCGTCTTTCGTAAATCCTGTCAGTACTATTTTAACGCCAAAAGATTGTTTGCGCTGGTGCGAGCAGATTGTAAATCTGGTCCTAATTTAGCTTTGTAGTAGCAGTTTAGGTAATGCTATAGTTTAGCTAATATTTAGTAGTTTAATTTAGATAATTTAGTAGAAGCTGTTTCAATAACGTCATGATTTAACTTTAGTGTTACTAGCTAAAGTAATTTAGT